GACAAAGTTTTGCAATGGGAGTTATGCGAGTTTTTCCGCGAGCGGTTTTTTCTTCATTCGATTCCTCGCACCGTGCGCACCTACCTAGAGCTCGCGAAATGTGTTTTAACTCGATAGAAAAGTTTTTAGAGTTTTCTTTCCGCGAAAAAGGTGATGAATGGTTATAGAATGAATGATGTTTTAATGTCACCCATATATATTTTTTTCACTTTATGGTTTTACAAATTTAAATTGGACGAAAATATAGCTGGAGTTAAAAAACTAAGTATTTTTAAAAAAAACTGCATAGTAAAGAAATGATTATGAAATAATTTATAAATACTAGTACTTTCATCATACTTAGATTTAGTTACTAGTATTTTCAACATATAGATTACACGTGGTATGAAAACTTACTAACTTTGCAAAGAAATTCGTTTTCGCAAAAGAATCTGATTTGCTATTTTTATGTTTTTTTACGTTTCAAGTCATTCTAAAGCAATATAGAAAAAGTAGGTTTGTGTATATGTGATCAGATTTTTCGATTTTTTATTCACATTTTTCGTGAACAGCTGCACCGATTTCAAAAATTTAAAAGCTATATGATTCGCGTAGATTCGATTTGAATGATGATCGACCAAGCCGTTTCTTTTTAATTAGCAGAAAAGTGAAAAGTTTTTCATCCATTTTTTAGTCCACAATCCTGTATCGATTTTAAATATTGAAAAACTGTTCGAAGGCTATTGGTTGGGAATCGTGCTGATTAGTTTTTTGTGAAAATCGGGTCATTTCTTCAACACTAAAAAGATATACAAATAATTATAACTGAAATTTTTCCGATACTTTCAGAAATACGTGTATGTATAAGTTTATTTATATTAATAATTTCCATGGAAATAGTCTGATAATTTTTTCCATGATGATGATATGTCCATACTAAACATATTAAAATATTACGGTCCTACGACAAGTAGATGAACTTTAAAAAGTCATCAAAATTTGAATATAATGAGTCAAAATTTTTTATCTAAAGTCGCTTCTGTGATATGTTGAGTCAAAATTTTAATTTTTTTGAGTTTATTTATTTGGTTTCAGTTGAGTAAATACTAAATTTTTGAAGTAAACAGTTAAAATTTTGTCAAAAATTTGTCTAACTCACTATTTCGGTTGCTTTATTAAACATATCGGGAAGTTCAAGCAACCTGCCATAAAACAGAATGCTACCTACATCTAATTTTGATAGATGTCGTAGTCGAAGATATTATGTAAGTACACTTCTTATCTAAACGGTAAATAATAATACTTGGAAATTTGAATTTATTACAATAATTTAAATCTTGCTTTATAGATTTTATCATATTGTGGTTGGACTTCCACTTTTGGAACCATATTGTGGTTCCAAATTGGACTTTGGAAATATCGATATGTAGTTAAAAAAATGATAAAAACAATTATGACTCAATCTTAGTTAGTCATGAATTTTAAATATTTAAATAGTTAAAATAGTCAAATTTTGAATATTAATAATAGTTATGTATGATAAAATGGTCATTTCAGCATTATTTGAAAATAATTTTAAACTATGTGCAAGATGTATGAAATTCCCAATATACTTAAAGAGCTTAATAAGAATTCATATTTAGTAAGTATTGAATTTGGGAACTTGCTCAACTGTCTCTTATAAAAATGCTGATTACGTTTTTTTTTATTGAGAATTAAACAATCGATTTCTTATTTTAGGATATTGGTTCAGTTCATAATTTTTATTAAAATGGAAAAATTTATTAAAATAGTCATACTATAAATTTCAATTAGTCAGCACGATTCTTCAACTGATATCTTAGGAACAGATTTTGATTTTTCAGTTAATTGTGTTTCATTGAATGCGAGAGTATAGACTGATTTAAAATGGACTATTCAAATTTAAATTTTATGTTCAAATTTTTGGGTTTGGTAAAAAAAAAAGGTCAAAACAAGAAAGCGCTAGTGATTTAAGTACAGGCATATATGATTGATACCAAAAATTCAATAAAACTTCTTAGCCATTAAAATCGATCAAACAAAGAATGAACAACGTGTTATCCAAAGGTTTCAGTAATAGATTTTCTGTGAATCATAGATATTAAGGTATAATAATTTTCGATCATTTTCTGTTACACGATCAAACTTTGTAAAGTTTTCTCCACCTCTGCATAATGACAACTGGTACCAGAGTGTGACAGTACAGATTTTTATTATTTGACGATTTGGGTTTTCCATTTCATTCGGTATTTTCTTGCTATGTTATTTTTTATATCCAGCAGTAGCATAAAATCTAATGGTTATCGTACCTTTAAGTATATGTATACAGATATGTACGAGTATATCGCGAATACATAAAGATAGCAGCAATGTACTGAAATACAGATTCATGCAAGTTCAGTGAAGGTAAAAAATAAATTTACCTTTTTTATCAATATCAGCATATAATGAAAATATTTCTATTTTGAACGCCAATAAAATGAATGAGCAATAACGCCTATACAACATAAAAAATACTGCCAATTAATTATATTATGATTTCAATACACAGTGAATATTCGAATAATGATTTTTATAATTTTTACGTGTTAGGTAGAGTTGCAGAAGCTGAGAGTTATATGGAAAATATGGAGACAATTTCAAAATTTCTCATTAAAGCGTATACAATATATTGGCTAAAAAAAGCATATTATATTATGCTAATAATTTCATTCCACAAAGAAAAAATCCCTAAACTGGTGTGATGTTTAAAATTGAACATAACTTTCAGCTTTTAAAACGCTATGTTCACAAATTATCTTTTGGAGGAATATGAAACAACTATATTTAATTTATTTTTATCAACCAGTGATCGGATGTTTTATAAGTTTTTGTGTAGATTTGACTTAACTGCGTGAAGGATTTGCAGAAGGCAAAACAACGGTTACATTATTTCTATGAGATAAATTTATTATTATAATTTGTTTAACACTAATTAATAATTGATGCAGCAATATAGGATAAAGAATATTTTCAGGTGGAAATAAATTACTATATGAATTTCCAAGTAAAAACCAAAATCACTACTGCTTGACCACTCATTCATCCAGGAGACATACGATATAATTATATGAATTAACAAATCGGTTTCAAGAAAAATGATATAAAAGTTGAATCTCATTCAAATAAATTTAGAACATATTCAGACTTATTCGAAAGTATGAAAAAGGCTGATCAAACATACTAGTAATTTCCAAGCAAGAACGTTGATATAAAATTTATGAGACAGAATATTTAAAAAAAAGGTTAAAGACTTATGTATACTAACACTAAATATCAATTTTAACTTTAATTTATTTTATTTTGTAATAATAATCACTTTTAAACTGCCTAAACTGCACGTAGTTCTTAATCTTTTTTTATTTTATAACTAGCTTAATATTTTAATAATTAATTACATTTAGTGTAAATAATTATTTTTAGTATTCTTCTTAGATAATAAAACGTTTTAATTTTTTTTCAAGATTTTTCTGTCTTGCGCATTAATCATTATTAAATATGTTACGTAGAAAACTAAATCAAATTTATTTAATTATATGTAAACTACTTTTTTGATAAATTAATTTTTTATAAATTACAAAAACTTAGCAATATAGTAATGCTGATCATTAAATTACTTAATATATTATTATTGATTGATGTACAAAAAAAAGTTAAAGCTAATTTTTACTTTAAACGCAATATATCACTAGGTTATACAATAATTTACATAAAATTTTCTGTTAAATGACTTCAAAATAATTAAAATTTGATGGAAAACTCGAGCAAATGTTCATTTTAACAAAACTGTAATGTAAGCATCTATCAATTATGTAGGCTTGCTCGTATGTAAGTGGTTAGAACAACGGGATTTGAATCGAAGATGCTGGTTTTAATACCTGCTTAAAGCAACCTGATGTCAAGCAGTAGTTACATCGATTGCCATTTGTAAATATAGATAACATTTTTCTAAGTAAAAATAGCTCTTATCCGGCATTGATGCATCATCGTAAATTTATCACTATTAGAGAAATCGTAATAATTTTGCTTATCAAAGAGATGAGACAACTGTTTGGGCCACCATATATGAAAAACTGACTAACACTTTCCACTCTTTCCGAGATCTTTATAAATTTTGCCGCCGGAGCGGCTGCATCTGAGTCGAAAGGGTTAAGTTAGAAGTGTATTTCATAACAATATCTCATAGAGCCGAGTTAAATCAGTTATGTTAAAATCCTCAAACATATACACCCCAATAAAAAAATTCTAAATTATCGCAGCTTTATACACATATAATGTCACAGTACAATAAATTTAACCAATAATTTTCCTTTATATCGAGACAGAATAAAATATAACGCAAAACACACTTGTCTTTGCGAAAAATATCGTATGACATAACATAATTGATAACATAATCGACATGACATAAATGTAATAATATCTTATTGCATTTCAATTGCATATTACCCTTATGTGCACATCAATAACACTCGGCGGAGAATACAGATCGAGTGAATGTATAAATAAAATAATATTTTTAATATCCAGCTTCTACGATGGATATACAGAAATATGTTTGTATATTATTACATGTGTTGCACTTTAATGCGATGCAGTGGTAGCACGCAATATTGGAAGGCGTAATGCATAGTGATATCTATCATTCGGGATTGACGCGAGCATTCCTCGACAAACACAGATGTCTAGATGGCAGATAATGCTTTTTGAAGGAAAATATCATTTGACATTATTTTTATATTTTACACCTTCATAGAAATATGTGTATTCAAGTTCCTTTTAGGTCATGCTTTAGTATTTTCAAACGTTCAATCGCATCGCTATTTAATATATAATGTTTTTGAAAGCTATTGCGCTTGAACTTTATTTTGATTTGTCGTTTGCAGTCTTTACGTTATATTGTATGGACCAGAATGATGTGCTTAATTTCTATTTCTTCAATTAAAATATTAGAGACTTACCTATTTCTAGATACTTCTGATGCACTGGATCATATTGTTCCCAAACAATTGAACGGAACCTATTGCGTTCTCTGGACACTGGTAAAACTTGTTCCTGTTTTTTAATTTCATTCGGATTCCTGAAACAAGCAAAAATATTTATATAAGTTTTAGCTCTAAATATTAATTTTTAGACAGTGCAAAATTCAATTAAACTTCGTATGGAAATAGTATGAAAAAAATTTTTAATATTAAAAAAAAATGTTTAGGTATATCTTATCGACAAATAATAAAAAGTGAAAAGTCGTGTCAATTTTTATTGAAAATTCGACTCTCTGCAAAATTTTTGAAAATGTTTTCATAAAAACTTTGAATTGCGCTTTATCTAAAAGACAATATTAAGAGCTAAAACTTTCAGAGAATTGTTTTTTATCAATATAGGACCATTTGAGCCCGTAGGCGCAAGGAAATTCGAAAATGTCTATATTAAGGACCACTCTTATATTTATATGTATATATATATATATATATATATACATATATATTCATTTATATAATATACTTACATACTAAAAGTTTGCACATGGTAAATTTTTAGTAGAAAATAGAAACCGAGTTTTTGAGAGAACGGAGCATCCTATTTAAAATATTTAAAAGACATTCAATTTGAAATGACGGGTAGAAGTGGAGATTAGTTTTTAGCAAAGGCAGGTCCAGCCGTTTCGGTGATATCGAGCTAAATGTGCAAAAAATGGCTGTTTTTGAGAAAACTAAGCATCCGATTGGAATGAATCAAAAAACTTTTTGCTTGTTTTGACAAAATAATTGCTTTTGGAAAAAAAAATTCTTGATTTTTATTTCTTTTGTATATCAAAAATAATTCATTTTTAATTTGAATTCTGACTAAAGTTCCAAAATCGCTTATATACTCTAAATAATTAATTATAACTTTTTAATTCAGTTTATATTATGCTTATAAATCTTAGACAATGTTACACCATTTGTAATAACCTAGTTGAGAACATTTAATATAACTCTAACATTTCGTTACGGTACGGGAAGTTCCAGCAATTAACCTTAAGGCACTTTGCCATACACTTCTAGTTTTTATTGACTTCCCGAAGGAGAAGTTTATTTTCATAAAAAAATCCGACTCGCTAATTTTATGTTTTCTCGACGTTTCAAGCCATTCTGAATCGAATGAGACCAAATTTGGAAAAAGTATGTGTGTGTGTGTGTATGTGAACAGATTTTTTGCCGTAAATCGACGTTTTCTCAAAAACGGTTCGACCTATTTCCAAAATTTAGAAGCCATTCTATGTATCTCGTTGAGGACTAGCGTTTCTGAGTTTTGTATGACGATCGTCCAAGCTGTTTTTTTATAAATAGCAGAAAAGTGAAAAAATGTTCGTCCACATTTTAGCCCGCAATTCTTAATCGATTTTGAAAAATCAAAAACCGTTAGAAAGATATTGGTTGGGAATCGTGCTGATAAGTTTTTGGTAAAGATCGGCTGGGCCGTTTTCTTGTAATACAATTAAAAAAAACGACGATTTTTATGATTTTTTTTGACGGTAGATATCATACAGTCTTCTAGATCAGGGGTCGGCAAGCTTTTAACTGTAGTGTGCCAAGCCACTCTACCAATATGATTTAGAGTGCCGCCTTAATTTTGAAATATATAGTTAGGTTCTAGGGGAGAAGAATTATAACCAAATTTATCTTTTAAATATATTTATTAACAAATAACATAAATTTCGAATATAAACTAAACAACTTTAATGCAAACCTTTTCCTTAACGTTTCAATATCCGGGGTATAATTTGTAACTTTTAATTTCACACAAGATTCTGAATGTTTAGTTGTTAAACGATTTCTTTGTGAACTCAAAATATGTTTCATGTGAGAAAAAAATTTGTTCACAGAGATATGTGGAACCAAAAGCTGAAAGGAGAGCGCATACAATTTTCTTTAAACAATCAAATCTTTTCCGACAATGTCATTCAACAATTTATTATGGCTGTCAATTTTTCCATAGACTCATCTTCCAGATTTTTTTGTAATTCCTTCAATTTTGTTTTTTGAAGATTCTGAAGATATTAGTTCGATAATTTCCATTTCAAAATTATCAACATTAATCCATTCGAAAATCAACAAATCAAACGGTATTATTGATGGATCTATTAAATCTGGTTTTATGAGGAAGGAAAATAAAGGCACATAAGCTTCAAAGTCTTTGCATCTTCTGGAAAATTCATCTTTAAGTACTTCAACGTAGGTTGAATTACATTAGCGAGCTACGTTAGAAAAATAATTATAATTAAACATTTTCTCTTATTTAAAAATCACTCGATATTTCCGATTTTCCTGATTACTTTAAGGAGTGCCATTCAGAACCCCATCTCGTGCCAAGCCTGGCACGCGTGCCGTAGGTTGCCGATGCCTGTTCTAGATTATGCTAAAATATTACCGCCCTACGACAACTCGTTTAGCTTTAAAAATTCGTCAAAGTTTGCAAAAATTGGTATCATTTTTTTGGTATCTGTCAAAATTAGACCTTTCATCGACGTTTGCTCAAAAACGCCTTAACCGATTTCAAAAATTTAAAAGCCATTTGCTGTATCTCAGTGAGCACTATAGTGTCAGTTTTGTGAGACGATCTGCCGAGCCGTTTCTTTGTAATTTGAAAAAAAGTGTTAAACTTTTCGTCCACATTTAAGCTCATTCTACTGAATCGATTTTAAAAAATCAAAAACTGTTCGAAAGATAGTAGTTGGGAATAATACTGATTAGTTTTAGGTGAAAATCTACCTAGCCGTTTTCTTATAATTAACTATTGAAAAATAAATTTAAGCCGATTTTTATGAAACTTTCTTTGGCGATGTATATCATGGTCTTATAGAAATATTACGGCCTTACGACAAGTAGTTTAATATTAAAAATTCATCAAAGTTTGAGAAAATAAGTAGTTTTGTTGACGTTTGTTAAAATTAAAATTAGATGATCTACTTGGTATAACGATTGATTACTTGTTCTTAATGAACATACTAAACCACTAACGTCCTACGAAAACTGGTTCAATTATAAAAATTATTGATTTGTGAGAAATCAATACTCCGAGTTAACGTGTTCGTTCGCTTTCAATGATGTGTAATAAATCCACTCGGAATACTTTTAATTACTCACAAATTTATTTTTTTATTGATTGAGTCGATATTTATACATATCGGGAAGTTTATGTAACTTGCCTCAACGCTAAATACCAATACCAACTAGTGATAAAATTGTATTCAAGATACATTTTTCATATAAAATCATTTACCATTAACATCAAAACTCATTAGCACCTTCCTGTCACAATCAAGTACTTTGTAAAGGATTATTTTTGCTGGTTTCTTGATGAAATGAAACCAGGAAACTAGGAATAAAAAGTCTAAAACACAAAAGTAATTCGAGACCATTGATGTGCGTACGTGTGCACGCAATTGTGTGTGCAAGTGTGAATAATATTTTATATCAAAAACGTGAAACCGGTGCGACATATTGCTTAACAAGAGCTCGGAACGATGCGAAACGAAACAAAGCAAAGCTTTTGGTGTAGCAGTCATATTTCTGTGCGTTCGTTATGACAACTCTGTATTATGTAAAGCGCCAACGGATAAAGGATTGTCAAAGTGTATTACTAGTATATCCTAGAGGTAACTTTCACAAGGATATTCGAATCAACTATTATTTTCCCATAAGCAAGTTGTGGAAATCTCGACTTACAGTAGTTGTTCATGTAGCAAGATTTCTTGATCAGTAAAGGTGTATTAGAATATGTCAAGTATGTTACGTTTGTTTTTTGTATGAATTGATGGTGGATGATTCTTTAAAATAAATCATCTGGTGTAAACGTCGACGTAAAATTATAAAATATCATTTCATACAACGGTCAAGAGTAAATAGGGAACGATCCTCTCCAGGTTCGACGGCTCATATAATTAGGTTATAAAATAAGACAATAAAATGTACTCCGTCGGACCTGAAATTCAGATAAATATTTATTCGAGTATTAACAGTCGAAGAAGGACGTATTTGTAAAATAGAATTAAATAAATTTAACGTGAATATAACTGGACTTTTATTTTCAAAAACAGCCATCGTGGAGATTTCACATTTCGCCGATTATAAAAATTACAGAACACTCAAAAAGCATATCAGCAACGACATCATGTGAATCGCTCCAGATGGATTTTCAAATTTTTAGGAATAGATACAAAAATATGTGTTAGCTATGTCTAGACAGAGACGCTGTTTTGTATGAATGTTGGTTTGAATGATAGTATGCATATAAGATTGCAATGGATTCATGATAGTAGAAGAGGAGCAGTTAGAGAGGGAGATTTTTGTGAGATACGTCTATAGAGATTTATTTATTTATATTTATATTTATATTTATATTTATATAACACATTTAGAGACAAATAATGTAATTTATCAGAAATTAGAGACAAAAAATGAGTATTTAGAGATAAAGTGTATTATTAGAGACGAATAGAGTTGACACATAGTTCAGAATTATTAAAATATTCTTAACAATTCTCACGATCCATAAAACATATTAGCCTTTGAAATAGTCCAATAGTTGCAAAAATTTTGTTTAAGAAAATAAAATTATCAATTTTTATATAAAATTGTTATATTGATGATTTCACAACATATTGTTGTAACTGGATAATATATGCAAAAATAAATACAATTATGAAATGAATGAATCAATTTCTTATACTTATAAAAAAGATATAAGTGACCTTTACATACATATATGTTTTCTTTAAGTTCAATTTTATTCATTTTTAAAACCGAATATTTTGGGGCTAAAAATAAATATTTAATATAATATGAAATTATGATTTTTTTATAAATTTTATATATCTTATTAATATAAATTCTTTTAAAGCTAATGTGCTTATCATTTAAAAACTGTTAGATTTAAAACTAACCTCTTGATTTAAATAAAAACCTCTTGATTATACGCCGAATGGGATATTCTGGTGCTAAAAATAAGTATTTAATATAAGAATATCAATTTTTTGTAGATTTTATATATATTATCCATACATATTTTCAATAAGTTTTATTAATATATTCACTATTA